AGACATTATGGTTATATTAACAAAATTAATTCTTCTAATTCATAAGCATGGGATTATTTTCAATATTTTGTGTACTTGTCAATTTCTTTTATAAGAAGTTTTATAATTTTCATTGTAGAAGTTTTTCTCCTCTTTTGTAAACTTTATCTTTAGGTATATTATTTGAAACACTATTAATTTTTGCATGTTGATTTTGTATCTTGCAAAGTTATTGAACTTATCAGATCTAAGAATTTGGTAGTCTTTAGGTTTTCTAGAAATAATATCATCTGCAAAGAGTGACAATTTGACTTTCTCTTTTCCAATTTAAATGTCTTTTATTTCTTTCTCTTGTGTGATTTCTCCGGCTAGAACTTCCCAGCACTATGTTAAATAGGAGCGCTGAACATGGACAACGTTGTCTTGTTTTAGACCTTAGAGGAAAGACATTCAGCTTTTTCCCGTTCAGTGTAATGTTATATGTGAATTTGTCATATACGGCTTTTATTATGTTGAGTTACATTCTTTTTTTTTCTTTTCTTTTCTTTTCTTTTTCTGAGATGGAGTCTTGCTCTCTCGCCCAGGCTGGAATGCAATGGCATGATCTTGGCTAACTGCAACCTCCACCTCCCGGGTTCAAGTGATTCTCCCACCTCTGCCCCCCCCCGCCCCCCACCCCCCAAGTAGCTGGAACTACAGGCACGTATGCCACCAAGCCTGGCCAATTTTTTGTATTTTTAGTAGAGACGGGGTTTCACTATGTTGGCCAGGCTGGTCTTGAACTCCTGACCTTAAGTGATCTGCCCACCTCAGCCTCCCAAATTGCTGGAATTATAGGTATGAGCCACCACACATGGCCAAGTTATGTTCTTTCAGTTCTTAGTTTGTTGAGAGTTTTTGTCAGGAAGAGATGTTAAATTTTATCAAATGATTTTGCGGAGTCTATTGAGATTACCACATGGTTATTTTCCTTTAATTTGTTAATGTAATGTGTCACATTTATTGATTTGCATATGCCAAAGCATCCTTGCATCCCTAGTATAATCATGGTGCATTATCTTTTTCAAGTGCTGTTGGATTTAGTTTGTTAGTATTTTGTTAAGGAACTTGGCTTCTATGTTCATCAGGAATATTGGCCTATAGGTTTCTTTTTCGTTGCAGCCTTGTCTGGTTTTGGTATCAGAGTAACACCAGCCTCTTAGAATAAATTGGGGCAACTTTTCTTGAATTTTTTTGGAATAGTTTGAGAAGAACAGATATTAGTTCATCTTTGAAAATTTGGTGTAATTTAGCAGTAAAATCATCTGATCCTGGACTTTGCTTATTGGTAAAGTTTTTATTACAGTTCAATCTCATTACTCATTATTGGTCTGCTCTGGTTTCTATTTCTTTCTGATTCAATCTTGGTAGATTTATGTCTCCAGGAATTTATTATTTTCTCTAAAATTTTCAGTTTGTCAGTGTATAGTTATCCGTGGTTATCTCATGATTGTCTCTATTTCTGTAGTGACAATTGTAGTATCTTCTTTTCAATTTCTGATTTTGCTTATTTGGGTTTCCTCTTTTTTATCCTGGTCACTCAACCTACTCGTTTACCAGTTTTGTTTCCTTTTCAAAAAATTAACTTTCCATTTTGTTGATCCTTTGTATTATTTTTAAGTCTCTATTTTGTTTAGCTCTGCTCTAAACTTTTTGATTTCTTCTGCCAGTTTTGGGTTTGATTTGTCCTTATTTTTTTTAGTTCTTGAGATGCATTGTTAGATTGTTTTTTAAAATCTTTCTTGTGTTTGAGATAAGTGTTTATTACTATAAACTTGCCTTTAACACTGCTTTTGCTCTGTCCCCATTAGTTTGGGTATGTTATGTTTCCATTTTTATTTTTTTCAAAAAATTGTTTGATCTCCTCCTTAATTTCTTTCTTAGTCCGGTGGTCATTCAGGAGCCTGTTTAATTTCCATGTTTTGTACAGTTTCCAAAGTTCCTCTTGTTATTGATTTCTCATTTTATTTCATTGTAGTTAAGAGAAGATATTTGATATCATTTCAATTTTTAAAAATTTGTTGAGACTTGTTTTGTTTTCTAACTTATGGTCCATCCTAGAGAGTGTTTCATGTGCTGATAGGAGGAATGTGCACTTTGTAGCTATTGAATACAATGTTCTGCAAATGTCTGTTAGGTTCATTTCATTGAATGTACAATTTAAATCCAATGTTTCTTTGTTAATTTCTGCCTAGATTATCTGTCTAATGTTGACAGTGGGGTGTTGAAGTCCCCACTATTGTCATATTGGAGTTTATATCTCCCTTTAGAGCTAATAATATTTGCTTTATCTATCTGGGTGCTCCATTGTTGGGTGCACATGTTTAGATTTGTTACATTCTCTTGCTGAATTGATCCCTTTATCATTACATAATGACCTTTTTTGTCTGCTTTTGCTGTTTTTGACTTTAAAAATCAGACTTAAAGTCTGATTTATCATATATAGCTAAAGATATTCCTGCTTGGTTTTGGTCTTCATTTGTACAGAATATCTTTTGATATCCCTTTACCTTCAATCTATATCTATCTTTACAGGAGAGAGAGCTTTTTTATAGACAGAATACAGCTGGGTCATAATTTAATTCATTCAACAAATATATATTTTTAAGTGGAAAATTTAATCCATGTGCATTCAATGTTTTTATTGATATCTCCTTTTATTAGTTGATTTCTATTTGTTTTGTATATTTTTGGTTTCCTTTTTCTCTTATTGTTTTTCATTGTGGTTAGGTGGTCTTATGTAGTGATAACATTTGAGTTCTTTCTCTTCCTTATTTGTATTTGCTCTACCAGTGGGTTTAATACTTTTGTGTGTTTTCATGATGGTAGATATCTTTTCACTTCCATGTGTAGGACTCTTAAGCATTCCTGGTAGAGCCAGTCTAATTAATGGTAGTAAATTCCCTCAGCTTTTGCTTATCTGGACAATACTTTTTTTTCATCTTTCATTTATGAAGGACAACTTTCTTGGTTACAGTATCCATGGGTGGAAGTTGTTTCTTTTTTTTTTTTTTTTTCTTTAAGCACTTGTTAAATGTATAATCTCTGGGAGCAACAGCTAGCTGTAGCAGATGCTACAGGTGAGAAATGTCAATGCAGTTCCGGATGTGGATATGTAAGGACTGTTGGCCCCTGTGCAGGATGCAGCTGGGTTGGAAATAGACTGTCAATAAAACACCTTTCCATAGCTGCCTAGGACTCAAGAGTGTGTAAAACCCATGGGACCTACCATGAACAATCCTCTGGAACTATGCCTTTGTGCAGTCTCCAGGCAACTCTCTGTTAGTCTCAGGGGTCTGTGAGGGCCTAGGGGCATCCCAATGGCTAGGATGCAGAAGTCCATGGTGAAAATGTGCCCTAGTGGGGGTCACTCACTTACCCTTTGCATGCATTAAGGAGCCTTTCCAGGCTCCCAGCCTATCCCAACTGAGCACACTGCCATGTTTTTCTCTCTTTCCTTGGTTTAGGTGTTTCTTCTCTGTTGAATACGAGATGGTCTATTTGAATTTTAATTATCTATTTCTTATTTTGGTACTTCTTTATAGAGAAGGCAAGTGCCAGATGCTTAGTCTGCTATTTTAAAGGCCCTCCCCTCAGAATCTACCATTTAGTTTACTTTTTTTTCAATTACTTCAGGGTTAAAATTATCTGCTTTACTAGATTTTTTGAGGATTAGTAAGAGAAAGGGACATTTCATCACCTATGTCACCATATTATAATAAATCCTGACATGAAAGGTTATGTTAATATTTGGAGGGAGAAAGAAAGGAAAGGAAATAGATGAAAAAGAGTGATAAAGGTGAGATTGCTTACATGTGCTTGTTTCTGAAAGAATTGATTTAGAGAGTTCTCTCTCATATTAAGCATGTCTGGCAGTAAGCAGGGGATGTGTGAGAGCAATGGTGAACTACATCATTGGGTGAAAAAGCATGAGTAATTGCACTGTATTATTCTGCACAAATTTGTTACCTTGCTCTTTAAAAGTGTTTGGTTTTATAAAATAAAAACCAAACTTAGCCTGTTTTGCATCTCACACAGCAGAATTAATTCAGAAATAAACTTAGCAGATGGTGAAAAGAAGGTGCCAACCGAATTTAATCGTCTATATTTATTAATATCTTAGAGTTAGCTAGCTATGTTAACTAAAAATAAAGAAGGTACATTTGCTCTGATTTTTCTGACTCATAATGACAGCCATGCTTAGCAAGGTGATCAGATATTATAGAATATCTCTAAGTCACTTACATAAATTAGTTGTAACAAATTATTCCTCTACTTTGTAGCTGATGGAGAGTTTAAATCAAATCTTTCTGTGTTCTTATATTAGTTTCTTCTCACTATTATAACAAGTTACCAGAAATTCAATGTTCTAAAATAAATAGAGGTTTATTATCCTATTGTTCCAGAGATCAGAAATTCAAATAAGTTTCACTGGGCTAAAATCAGGTTGTCAACAGGGAAACTCTAAGGGCAGAATCTGTTTCTTTACCTTTTTCTATGTCCAGAAGCCATCTATATTCCTTAGCTCAGAGTATCTTCCTTGTCTTCAAATTCAGTATGACTGGTCAAGTCTGTCTCGTGCTCATCACTGACGTTGACTCTTCTGACTTCCTCTTCGACATTAAATACCCTTATGATTATATTGGGTCCACCCAGATATTTCAGGACAGTCTCCCTACTTTAATGTTAGCTGATTAGCAGTTTGAATTCCATATGCTACCTTAATTACCTTATGTCACACAATATAACATATTCAAAGGTCCAGGGATTAAAACAATTTATATTTTTGAGAGTCTATTATACTTCTAACAACAGTCCTGTCTTCCTATATGGGTCCCACATTAAACCTTGTTCAGATCCTGAAGGTTTCTTTTGGAAAAAAAAAGTGCAAACACATATAAAAGTGGTTCAAATAAGGTTTATACAAGATGTTATCCTATGAGTTAAGAATAATCTAAAATTGTGTTATTTTTTCTTTTCAGGGATGGCAATTAAACACCTCGTGTTTTTGGTTGCTGCTGCTTGCTTACTGCCTATGTTGGCCATGAAAGTATGTGAGGGTTGTATGTTTCATAATTACTTTCTAAATAAAGCTAAGAGTTAACACTTAAATCTAATTCACTATGTTAGATGCACTGTTGTAAGGCCACTACACCCATTACTCACTCTGTTTCCACAATAGCCCTCTTAGGCAAGTGCTCATCTTAATACCATATTATTAAGAAAAGAACCAAAGAAAGGGAAGGGTGAGTCATATGGCTAATACCTGAGAAGTAGAACATCGCAGGGCCTGAAATTATACTTAATCAGTTAGGTCCATATCTATTTCACTGCAGCCCCTCTGGATAATACAAGCAAAAAAGCACAGATAAACTATATAAGTTTTTACTATAATAAGAATTTAAAATGTCAAAATTAAATATAAAATGGAAAGGTGCCAACAGCACAGAGTGACGTGAGGAGCCGTAAGTGATGGTATCAAGATATATGACCTGAATCTCACTCATTCTTAAAAACAACAATTTTAACTGTCACAAAACAGAAGTAAAACTCTTAGTGATATAATATTTTATGATCAGAGAATAATATCCACCTTTAAATAACTTGAATGATATAAAGAAAATAATATATATTTTAATTTACTCAAAACTTTATGACAAATTGAAATAAATAACTTTGGTATAGAAAATGAGTGGCTTTTATATTTTCATAGCCCAGGTAAGAGAAGTAAGAAATAAAAGGCACTTAGTTTTATGGTTAAAAAAAAATCCTTAGGCATTAGGCTATTCGGGTGTTGGTTTGGTGTTTGGATCCTATTACTCACTCCTCTTCCCCAAAGAGAGACTAGGTGGAGCTCATGTTTAATGTCCAGTAATCCTCCAGTAAGCTGGAATTAGAGTCCTCAGTAAGACTTCTTCCTTTCCTCTGATTATCTGATCATTTTACTTCCCCACCGTGAAAGGGTGATTTTTATGCTTCATAAGGAAAAAGCTAACCTGAAGCATAGCAACCACTCCAGAGGAGGGGACAAAGGCAAACAGTCAGAAACCTATATTTACCATCAAGACCTAGTACTAGGCTGTCTAGACCACTTAGGCCCAGTTCTGGGAAACAGCCTAGCCCAGATTGCCATGTGAAAGAAGAAATTAGTATCACTAGTTAAAAGTCCAGAGCAAAGAGGAGATAGGTAGAACTCCTCTCATCCAAGAGAAACCATACCCAATTCACTTTTGACCAAGAATATAAAAGAAAAAGTGGAAAGCATTGACAAAACAACATGTTTATGTCCTATAACAGAGAATTATTAGAATATTTTCATTCATTTTATAGACAGCTTGGTCATAAAATAAAGGCCTAAGAATTTTAAATTTAAAGCAGATGATAAATTAAGTCCCCAACACAAATTTATTACACAAACTTTAAATGAGTCCCAGTTAAAGTAAATAATGTGTTGAATCTGCCCACAAAAACATAGTCTTCTGCTTTCTCTTTTCAGACTCCAGTAGAAAGCAAATAAACTAACCACCAGACCTGAATGGTATTTTAAACTTCCAATAGTGTCAGAGTTTTCTGGGATATTAATCATCTAATTTAACATAAATTGCTTTTACTATTGATATAGGTAGTTTTCCATGACAATCTGGTAGATATTACCCAAAAAGTTTTTTAAGGAAAACTATAGAGAATTATGATCAGGTAACAGGCAGACTGAATCTTGTCTGAGTTAATTAGAGATTTCTCTGAGCACACAGTAGACCTGGGATCTGAAGAATAAGTCGGTCTTGCAAGCTCACAAGGTGTGCTATCAAACGTACAGGCATGGGCAAATATTCTAAGGCAGGAGGGAAATAGGCACATTCAGGTAACAACAACCAAAAAAAATCAGTGTGTCTACAGCAGAGATAAGGGTGTATATGTATTTATATCCTAAATAGAGGCTGAAAAATAAACAGAGTATTCAAAGGCCTTGTTAAAGATTTAGTTCCCCTTTTTATGAATGGTAAACTGTTTTTTAAATTTTTTATTCTGAATGATGACTGGAGAATGAATTATGAAACGATGCATCAAGGAGTGGGAGAGAGAATATAGACGTAGTAAAGCATTAGTGGATTCAGGGAGGCCAGTGGAAAGCAGGCAGTAGCCACAATCAGTCCAAGTGAAGGAAGCAGAGAAGTCTGAAAGGAAAGAAAAAAATAGAGTGTTTTGTTCCTTACACTGGAAGAAAGAGTATTTCTACACTGAAAGCTTTGTCATAGGAGTCAGCTGCCAATAAACCAAGTAGAATAAAGTCAGCAAAACAATATTGGATATGCAAATTGAGCTTGTCAGACACCTTAAAAGGAGAATTTTTAATGTAGGGTTTCCCACCTTGAACCTTATTGCCATTTTCTATGGGACAATTATTTGGTGTAGTGTGGGGCTATCCTGTGCCTCGTAGGAATTTAGCAGTAGCACCCTTGCTCTCTATTCACAAGATGGCAGGAGCACTCTCCCCCTCTCACGCCCATCAGGACAACACCAAATTTCTCCAGACATTGCCTAATGCCTAAGCAACGGGGGAGGTGGATCACCTGTGACAGAGAATATATTATTGAAAAAACGGGGGAAGTAAATGCAAGAGTCTATTACTTGGGTAATTATAGACAACCAGATTTGGCAACGTTTTCCAGAATATTGATAGGGAAAGAGTAGAGACAGAGATCAATAGTTGAATGCGAAAGTGAGGTAAATGAAGAGATGTTCGCTTATTTAAGATATAAGCAGCGTGTAGCCAGGCATGGTGGTACACACCTGTAATCCCAGCTACTTGGGAGGCTTAGGCAGGAGAATGGCTTGAGCCTGGAGACAGAAGCTGCAGTGAGCCAAGATCGTGCTACTGCACTTCAGCCTGGGCAACAGAGCCAGATTTCTTCTCAGAAAAAAAAAAAAAAAAAAAGATCTAAGCTGCAGAATCATAAATGAACACCACTGGGAAGGGCCAAAAGGAAAGAGTGACTGTCAACAAACACAAAATGAAAAGAAAATAAATAATGTAAGATTTGGGGGATGATAGAAGAAATGGATTTAATAAGACTGTTGGAAAGTTGAACCTTACAAAGATTAGAAAGAGTGACCCATTCTCTAGAACCACAGAAGAGGAGGAAAGAAAGGGACTGATACAGGTAGATTAGTAGACTGGGTAAGGCAGTTGAAGCAGCTGCCTCTGATGGCTTCTCTTTACTGAGGGAAGAAGGAGGTTTCACAACCTATTGAGAGAAGGTAGTTGTGAATGGGGAGAGTGCAAAAGTTCTACAATAATGTGGAGCGGGAGAGTGAGCTAACAAAACAATTCATTAGAATTGATTAGAAGAATTAAGGGACTATTTGGGATCAGTCATACTGATTTGGGGTCATGCAGATATGTGTTGTTTTGTGAGACATTTTCCTAGCAATGCTCAGCTGACAGAGCAGGCAGGAGAATTGTCAGTCTCACCCAAAGTTGGGGTGTTTTAGATAGATATTTCTAGATGAGGGTGTGTGGGCTAAAGATTCAATATTGTAAAGGGAGAGTTGCTGAAATTAGAGACCACGGATAGAGAAGAAAGAACAGACAAAAGAGGACTAGTAGAGAAAAGGAAGAATGAGAAGCCTCTATTATAAGTACAGTCAAAACGGCTGATCTTGGCAACTTGGAAGAACAGGAAATTCTGATCAGTCAGGGAAATGCTTGACCAGAATTTTGGGAGGTATGGTATTTGGGATGGTCATGAGATATAGTTGATCACCATTAAAGTGAGGATAAAGCAGATCGAAGAAGAAGTCTACGGAAGGAAGATTTTAAGGGCCTATGACATCAAAGGGTTAGAGTCATCCATGTGGATGTTAAAGTTGACTTCAGAAATTTGGGTAGAAAAGATGAATTCATTTCAGGAAACCCAATTTCCAGGAGTGAGAGGAAGTAAAAAAAAAATTCATGATAGGATGTTAAATAAATGTTCAGGAATGAGGTATGAGAGGCATGTCATGAGTTTTTCTGGAGCAGAGGTTTTCAGAGGAGCGAGGAGAGTTACCACCTGGAAATAGTGTGCGGAATCATGTGGGTCCTCAGCCTCTCCTCCAGTCCAAATCAGAGTGACTTGCAGCATGAGAAAAAAAAAATGACACCACGTGAGTACGTCCACAGAGACAGTCTCTAAAGGGGCCTTCTAAATTCCATACTTATGTTTCCTCCCCATACCCTAAGCTATTCATATAAAATAAATAACAGTGAATACTTCTATATTTGTGTAAGTTTGGTGCTAGATCTTACCCATTCATCAATTGTGGTGATGTTCATGTAGTAGTTAAGGAAGCAACAGACACCCGTCACATTATAGTACATTAGTTTTGCCGCATTTTTTAAAAAATGAAGTACGTGTGATATCACACACACACACACACACACACACACACACACACACACACACACAAAGATGTTCTTTATAGCAATTAATGCTAACCTAAATACTTTGGCCATATATTTTTCTTCTTAGTGAGTTTCAGAATAAAAAAATAAATAAATGAAAAGAACAGTCACAAATTCAAGATTGTGGGCTGAATTCGAATTCCATGTTATACCGTCTCACACATACGGTATTGAGAGCATTGATGCTTTTCATATGAACGGGAAGGAGACACAGAATTTGTATTGAAAACATTTCCAGCTTTGTCCTCGATAATGAATCTCTTAGTTTGAGTTCTCCCAGACACACACCACTAGACCAGGGTTCAAGTACAAGTAGTTTATTTGAGAAGCAAAGAGTAAGTTTGTTGTAGGGTGGGAAGTGTGGAGACTAAACCAGAGAAGTGAGTAAGTAAAAGGTGTGACTTTGAGACATTCCCTTTTTGGATCTTATTGCCCAGTTAAAAATGCTTCAACATGGCCCAAAGTATGAACCTGGAAAACCCCTAATCACAGGGGTTTTCTGAGGACTAATGTAATGTCAACCTGACGTTCAGAAATCTTCAAAACTAGCACTGGAGAAATTGAATCCAATATACTGAGACATTATAAATTCAAAAATGCTATAAATCACTGTTTACTTAATATTAAACTATAAAACTGCAAAATATATGTGACAAATTCCACTTAAAAGAAGTAACACTAATTAATTAATAATTTTCTGGTAACAGAAGAAATCAGCTAGAGAACAATTTAATAAGCTCCTCACTGAATTGGCAAATGTACAAGAAGAGATCGTTACTGTACACAACAGCCTCAGAAGAGGAGTAGTTCCACCAGCCAGCAACATGCTGAAGATGGTAAGATTAAACAATAGCAACATCCATAATGGCAATAATAGTAACGGTGTTTACTGAGTTTTTATTAAGTTCTATGCACTTTTAAAATGCTAAAAGTTTTATCTTCACAACAAATCTTTTACGTAAAGAAACAGAGGCCCAGAGACGGGAGGTAATTTTCTGATAATTATGTGGTTAGTCAGTGACAGACCTCAGCCAGTCGAGCTTCACCCCTCTCTGCCCTCTGCCCTCAGACAGTGCTTCTCCACCTTTTTAATGTGCTCAAGAATCACCTGAAGAATTTAGTAAAGCACACCTTCCTGGGCCTCCTTCTCGGATACCCTGATTCGGACATCTGACTTGGATACCACAGTAAGCTCCCAACTGAAGCGGCCAGTATGCATGACAAATATTCATTAACAAGTTACCTATGCATTTCATAGCTGTCTTCATTGGGCAGTAGTCCCGAGGCTAAGACACTCAGCGGAGAGTTAAAATGTCCAGATCTCTAGTTACTTGATGTGCCCAGGTAAATAAATATTGGCAAACTTATCCCCCACTTTCATTGCATTCCATAAAGAGGCAGCGAAATTCTTTCCATTATAAACCTGGTATGCTCTGAGGCAAGACAAATCTCAGATGTTTAGGTGATTACCCTCACATTTGTTATCCAGCAGCACCACTAAGTTTAATGAGCATCCTCAGCCAGCTTCCTTGAACCCTGGACTGGCATATAACAACAAGGGTTAGATATAGTGCAGGCTCTGGAGGGTGATTCTAAGGAACACCTTTCTCTTGCAAATGACGAAGAGGATGAAATAAGGAAACAGATAACTGATTTTGAAATTTATCTCTTAATCACTTTAAAATCCAAAGGGGTATTTGAACTAAAAATAAAATTCAATAGCTTTCTTAGGCTACATGGTGTTGCAGCAAACATGCGTATTGTGTTTATTACTGATAGACATTTTTCTAATACCTTGTTCTATTAGCTCATTTCATTCTCCCAACACAATTTTCTTCATTTTACAGATTATAACACTGAATCTAAGGAAAATTGAGTAGCTTACTCAAAATCATAAGTACTAGAGCCCAGATTAAAATGCAAGTGGGCCAGATCCAAGAATCTGGAGAAGTAGAGTCCAAATTCCTTGACTGCCAGCTGAGCAAATAAGTTTACCTGGGAGATACAAACAAGGGTAAAGTGAAAAACGTAGTCTCCGATTGGAGACTGGAGATAAAAGGCACATTCAGAAGAAACACTGGAAATAATATAAGAATATATGTATTCAAGTGCTAAGGTACAAAGGTATGAGATACCAACAAGATGATAAAAGTCAGTGTACCAATAAAACAGAGCAATATTTCACAGAAAATATGAGAGTTCAGCTGCTCCATAAACAATGCATAGGACATGCATAGGATTGGACTGATAGAAGACGCAACGGCAAATTTAAGGAACAATAGGACTGAAGAGTTAAACACAATTACAGGCAGAGATCTTCTTAAAAAAATGTTTCTGAACATAATATTAGAACCTGATTAAGTAGAGCCACTTGTTTAAAGCTGGAATCCAGACCTTTGGTACCATCATAAATAGCAGCTTTAATTTTAATTTTCAACATGTCACAAAAAGAAGTATCTCACCAACATTAATCAAAAGTAATGTCCTATACAGCTTCTTCAAAGTACAAACAGTCCAGTTCTGGCAAGTTTTCTTCACTAGTGAGTGTGATGGTATTTCCCATGCCCAGAGAGCCTATACACTGGTCAACGTGTGGTGTCATCTCTGCTCCATCAGTTAGACATAGCCATGACTAAAATAAGTCTTTTTTTTTTTTTTTTTTTTTTTTTTTTTTTTTGGCTTGAAACTATCAAAACCTGTAAAACCACGCTTTTACTCCGTGCTAGGTACTGTTATTCATCCCATGGTTTAGTCAATTCAACCTCAAGGGTAATTCTAAATATCTACCACAAGATGGCAGCATACACATGTAATAATTATATTTCACATGCTCAGGACAATACTGAAAATGAGAGTCCTCCAAACATTCTAAAGAGTAGCGGAATATTTACATAAAAACCTACCGTAAAAACAACTCTACAACTTCTGTTGGCCATGTGTTATATGCTCATATAAGGGTATTCTTTTAAATGGATATATTTGTTGCTGAACACCAGGGGTTCAGCCAAGGTCTGGTTTCTTGCAGCACAGAAAGCCAATCAGTACATGAGTATTACCAATTACCGGGGAAGAAATGCTTTACTGCAGGTGATGTCAGTCTAACTGTCAAATTCTTCCCTCTCCCTAACTAACCAAAGTTAAAGGTTCATATAGCGTGGACAGAAAAACAGAAGGGACAAGGAAAAGGAGTTGGCCAACAGGCAGCAGCTGTGTCTTCTTGTGCAGGTGGGATGATCAGGAAAGTCTCACTTCCCTGCTATCATCTGGGGGGCCTGACGGTGGGTTTCCTGGAAAGGGAACTCAGATAAGACAAATGTTCGTAAGCTCAGTTCTTCCTAAAAGTTGGGCAGTTTCATACACACCACAACAACAGAAGAGTGTTAGGGAGATCATTTGTCACTGATGCAGAATTTCTCCCTTCCTGCATTTGGAGAACAGCTGTTATTTAGTCATATCTAACCAAATGCTTCAACTAGGCACAGCTGATGCACACTGAGAAGCCAGTACTCTGAAGCCAGCCTAAATGGATCCAAATTCTCTTTTTGCCAATTATTTATAGTGTGACCCCTAAAAGTTCCTAATGTCTCTGTGCCTTAGTTCCCTTATTTACAAATAGACATAATATTACCTCTTTTGTAGAGTTGCTGTGAGATTAAAGTGAAAAAAGATACACACAGAATTAGTGACAGATTCTAGCATGTGGAGTTAGCTTTTATTTTTGTGATTCATCATTTTAGATGTAGATATGACTGTGAACTTGCTTCTAATCACAGCCATCATTTATTGAATATGTAAAATTTAGCACATCTCAATTGTATTCCTTGGATTATCACATTTGAACAAACCTTTGGGCATAAATTACAGGTAACAGTTTCCAGATGGATAAACTGAGATTCAAAGAGATAAAATAATATGTCTGAGTTTAAACTACAAATAAATTACTAGGCTGGATTTGTAACTCTGGTCTGTGTTCCTGGAAGCATTTACTTAAATTCTCTACTACAGCTGAGAGAGAAACTATCTCTGAATGTTATTACCAAGTTTTGAATTTGTGAATTCAAGGACCAACATAATAAATGAACATTGTTTTCTTTCTCTTTCTACTAGGATATTTAACAGTAATCTCATTATTTACATTTTTTCTTTACACAATTAAAGATATTATATCTCATGGATTATTAGAAACAAAAAGTTAGAATCTTATGAAAATGTTAATTAGAACATGTGCTTTTTTTTTCTTTCCACTGTAGAATTGGAGTGAGGAGGCTGCTCAAAATGCCAGAATGTTTTCAAGGTATTGTGATATGACAGAGAGTAACCCGCTTGAGAGGAGACTTCCAAGTAAGTGTGCATCTGTATGATCTGCCTTTGGACCCAGAAAACAGCAGTAAATCAGGGATTAAGTAACTTGATGAGAGTAAATTAAGTCATCTAGATTTCTTTATTTGCACTGTGTCATACACGGCAGTGAATTGTGAACTACGACAGTATTTTAATTCATTAATTCTTTTAAGGTTTATATGTTTACATTTTCAGATTCCAAGTTCTTACCATCAGGAAAAATGAATCAAAACTCTCAGTATGGCAGAGTAGAGTACACAGCTAGAGATGTAGGTCTTTCTGAGTAGTCACCTCAGCTACTCAACAGTAGCACCATGGGGATCTGTTCCATTATTTGGAACAATAATGTAGTTGAGAAATAAGTTATATGCAACCCTGCTGAGCTAGCCATAAGACAATTTCAGGTGCTCAAAAATGAGCCCATCTTAAAGCATATAAATTATATAAATTAGGTAACTTACTGCTAGTTTCCAGGAAATTTAAAAAAAATAGTACTTCTGTGTTAGGCTGTTTGGGTGTTTCTATAAAGAAATGCCTGAACCTGGGTAATTTATTAAGAAGAGATTTAATTACCGCATGACTCTGCAGGCTGTAGAGGATGCGTGGCACCCACATCTGCTTGGCTTTTGGTGAGACCTTAGGAAGCTTACAATCATGGCACAAGGTGAAGGAGGAGCAAGTGTCTCACATGGTGAGGGAGGAAGCAAACATAGAGAGTCGGGGGGTGCCACACACTTTTAAACAACAAGATCTTGTGAGATCTCACTCACCTAGAGGACAGCACCAACCTATATGAGGAATCCACCACCTTGATGTAAAGATCTCCAGCCAGGCCCACCTTCAACACTGGAATTACATCTCAGCATGAGATTTGGAGGGGACACCCAAACTATATTGCCTTCCTTCACGAATAAACATTATATTCTAACATGATAATCTTTTTTTAATTACGATGTTTTAAAAGTGCTAATTCACATTTATATCCACAGATTATTTGGAATCTTAGTCCAATGCTTTCAAGCAGGGAACTAGCAACATGGTTCTTGCCTGCCTTAGGAAAAGGCAGATACTCCTGAATACCATGTTTGACCAAAAGCCCACACTGTAAATGAATGGCTAAATTTCAAAAATGTCTATTCAACATCTTCGTATTATGAATACCTGTGTGTAGCTTCCATTAAGCCATAGACCCTCTTAAAACTCAGGCTTCTCTGATTTGGTTTTACCTATCTCCAACAGCTTGGAAGCAGCAGAGAATGAAATGTTGATTGATTTGATTTCAAAACTTGTTCACTATCTACTATCAACTTTTGACCACACTTGAGTACCACATGCTCATTCATCAATGAGGAAGAAGGCTTTCGGCAGGGATACAACTGATTTTACTGCCTCTCAGAAGATGTTATCAAGATGATTAGTGAACTATTCATAAAATAAAAATGAGGAAAGTCTCCTTGCATAGTATTTCCAATTTGTTCAGCATATGACCAGCCCATTTTCTCATTTCAGATACCTTTTGTGGAGAAAATATGTATATGACATCTTATCCTGTATCATGGTCAACTGTAATTGGAGTCTGGCACAGTGAGTCTAAGTATTTCAAACATGGACAGTGGACGTCAGCGGATGATGGCGTAACGACTGACCACTACACTCAGGTAACCTGTGTGCTGGGAAGCACACGCACCGTTCAAGAGATAAGCATGAATGTGGAAGCTCAAGCAAGAATCAACGGAATGTCATTCTACCTTCTCATGGCAATTTTTACTCAATTTACCAAGTTCCTCTTACAATTTGAAATAGAAGGAAGTGTTCTGGTCAAAATATGGCTTAGAGAAGATGCCTAACCTCTTTGTTTCCTTCTTTACTCACTAGATTTTCCAGAAAGTCACAAAATCACAAGACATCAATCTCATTTGACATTTGTAGTGTGTGTAAAAAGTGAAAGTAATGGTACCTTATAATACAGAGAACCCCCTGATTGTGGTAAAATATGCATTTAAAAATTACCATTTTAACCAAATTTTAATGGCTTCATGTTCAGCATTCATAGTATGAATGTTCAGTAGCAATATGTCCACTCAAATTGCTGTGCAACCCCATCAACAGATGTTTTCATTTTTCCAAACTGAAACTCTGTGCTCATTAAACAATACCTCTCCATTCCTCATCTTACTTCCCCAAACCTCTGGCAACCACCACTCCTTCTGTCTCTATGAGTTTCACTACTCAGAGTATCTCACACATTTGGAATCATACAGTAGTTGTCCTTTCGTGTCTGCTTTATTTCACTCAGCATAATATATTATATTCATGTTCATCCATGTTGTAGCTAAACCGTATTTCACTGTATGTATAGATCACATTTTGCTTGTCTGTTCTGATGGGCATTTGAGTTGTTTTCATTTTTTGGCTATTGTGAATAATGCTGTCTTAAACATTGGTGTGAGAATATCTGTTTGAGTGCCAGCTTTCAATTCTTTTAGGGATATGCCAAGAAGAATTACTGATCAATTCTTTTAGGGATATGCCAAGAAGAAGAATTACTGGATCATATGTGAATACTATGTTTATTATTTGAAAAACTGGAGTACTATTATATTTTCTATTGCAGATGCACCATTTCACATTCCCACCAGCAATTTACAAAATGTGCAATTTCTTCACATCTTTGCTCTATTAATCTGCTTGGAATGCTGTAACAAAATACCACAGCTGGGTGGATTAAACAACAGAAATTTATTTTCCCACATTCTGGATACTGGAAATCTATGATCCTGATAAAACACAGTTTTTAGTGAAAGCTTTCTGCCTGGCACCTTCTCACAGTGTCCTAACACAGACTTTCCCCAGTTCAAAAGTAGAGTCAGACAGAGGCAAGGATAGAGACAGAGACAAGAGAGATTATAAGAGCAACCTATCTAGCATCTTTTTTTATAAGGACACAAATCCTACTGGAATAGGGCTCAAGTCATATGATTTTATTTAACTTTATTTCATTACAAACTCTATTGTTAAATACAGCTACAATGGATGAAAGTTATGGGTACAGAATATGAATTTTAGGGGACCAATTCAGCTCATAACATATTGCCCCTTCCCAACAAATGTATTTACACCTCACATGCAAAATACATTCATTCCATCCCAAGTGCCCTCAAATTCTTAATTTATTCCAGCATCAACTCTAAAGTTTAAAGCCCAAAGTCTTACCTAATTATTATCTGAATATTATCTAAATGCATGAGATTCAAGGTGTGGTTCATCCGGAGGTAAAATTTCTCACGTCAGTGAACCTATGAAACAAGAAAAGTTATTTGCTTCCATAATACGATCGAAAGACAGGCATCAGATAGATATTCTCATTTCAAAAGACAGAAACAGAAAAGGAAGCAGTGATGGGTCCCAGGCAAGTCCAAAACCTAGCAAGAGAAATGTCAAGTGACATTAAGGCTTGATAATAATTCTCTTTAGTTTTATGCCCTGCGCTCTTGGCCAACTTGGGGGCAGTCTTTGGCTGCTATGGCTTTGTGGTCAGTCTTTTCCCTTTAGCCCAGTGAGTCAAATGACTCTCTAAAGAGGCCCTGCTAACATGGCTGTTTTCAGAGATCACCTAAAGAGACAATACTCTGAAGCTAAGCAGGAAGCAACCTTGCCCCCGGACCTGTAGTGGGAGGGGCTGCCGTCATGATCTTTCAAACATTTGGGAATTCATTCTTCCCTTTTCTTGAAGGACAAAGCATGTTTGCAATAAAATACATCTATCGTTTCATTCTGAAGAGACTAAGAAGTCTGACAGCATTTCTTCCTTCACTTAGGTCTGTTTCTCTGTCCACTTTAATTCACATTGGCAGTACCTCTGCTGTATAATCACACCTCTGTTTCTGCTGAGATGTATGATTAAATTTGTAAACCATATCCATGGTATCTTTATCAAACGGCTGTTCAGAGACATCCTTAGGGTATTCTTTTGAAAATACTTTCTCATTTTCTGCAATATAGATGTGCTAATCATTTTGTAAATCTTCAAGTTCTGGTTATTTTTTGCATAAAGATTTCTTCAATTTATTTCTCTCCTCTTGTAGTTTACTATAAGTGGTAAGGAGAAACCAAACCACTCCTCTGACCCTTTGCTCTGAAATTTCCTCAGCTAAATATCCACGTGGTTTGCTGTTCATAACTTCTGTCTTCCACAAAACACTAGAAGACAAGGCAGCAGCCAATTTTGTTTGCTACTTTGTGACAAAGATTACCTTTCTTGCAATTTCCAGTAAAGTGTTCCTCCTTTATATGTGAGGGAGAATAGATTTTAATTTCCTTATTTCTATCAACAATTCCTTCAAGGAAATCTACATTTTTTATAGCATGCACTTGAAAACTTCCAGTCTGTACCCGTTACCCAATTCCAAGGCTGCTTCCACATTTTTAAGTATTTGTTACAGCAGCATCTCAGTTCTTGATACCGAAATCTGTTTTAGTGTGCTCAGCCTACCATAACAAAATTTCACATTCCTGAATGACTTCAACAACATATATTTATTTTTCTTGAATTTATGAAGGCTGGAAGTTCAAGATCAGAGTGTCAGCATGGTTAGTTTTTTGAAAGGATTCTTTTTCTGGCTTGCAGACTGCTTCCCCTTTCACTATGTTCTCACATGTGCCCATTGGTAAGTTTCATAAAATCTAAAATAAAATCTACTTGAAATAAAGCCTACTTAAATTTGATGTTAAAAGCCAATGAAGATAAAGCATTTTAAAAAAACAGATGCATAATCACTGAAATTAATGCAGAAACCTAAATAAAACATCAGTAAATAGCATTTTCTTTTAAGATTGATACACTTAGAAACAAAGGGTATGTGGCAAGAATCCAGGAGAATCTTAACATTGTTCAGTCATAAAATTTACCTTTTCAAAGGATTAGAGGATAAAAATAAAATGAATATCTAGAAAGCTAAAAATCTAACCAATTTGTGGCCCTGATTCAAGACTTCTATTTCCTATATAAGTCAATTAACGCACAATTTTATCACAAAATTGCATTATATTATCACTGTGACATATTAACTGAATTCTGCAACCTTTGGATAATCTTGATTTGTTTCCCTCGAAGTCAATCAGCGTCACTTTCAAAATAGAACACATTTTATCAAAATGATTTATCTCATTTCCTGTTTCCAAGAAATTAGGACAATGAAATCAAACAAATTTGCTCTCATTTGCTGAAAATTTAACACAGTAGAATATGGAAACATTTTACAACCCACCAGTTATGTATTCCTTTCATGACTAGTAAATGGAGGAGCTAGGACTAGAACCCAGGTCTGAATAATAGTCCAGTGGTCTTTACACAGCTCTTAGTCTTTCATATGCACTTGAGGGATGGGAACTTCATTTCACCTGATGTTCTAAAAATCAGAAGCAGATGAGGGCAGGGAAGGGCAAGGAACAGATGATAGGGTTCCAAGCAGAATGAACTGAACAACAAGAACATTAATATGAAGTTGAATAAGCCCATGACAGCAGGCCTAATAGGGGAATACACTACAAGGTCTTTCCAGATATTTTCCAACATTTTCTGTAGCCTTGTATAAACACATTAGTATGTTCATAGAAAAGTTTTGCAAAATAAAAGCACTTTTTCTAAAATCATTTGTGTCTGAAGACCTAATGGAAAAAGTTTCATTTTCAATTTTCCTTTGCTATGAGTTAAAGGAACAAATGAATAAGTTAATTTCAATAATCTTATTACCAATTAACGTATATCAAGAATATTGCAAAACAGATATTCAGCTGCCTTTTTATTAAAATTATATTTCTAGTTATATGCTCCATTAGATCCTGAGTTCAACAGGGTCTCTTATGGAAAATACACATTGGTAGAAAATGATAGGAAGAATCTGCAAACAAAGAATCTACACTATAAAAATTTTTATTACTAGAGCAATAGTTTTAGTAAAAGCTTAGGTTAGCAGCAGGCAATTAAAAGCCATTTGGTGTGGAGAGATTAACACCGATGCATGACTCTCTTTGTAAAGAGAAAGCAATGTTTCATCTAAAAGAGTCACAGCCTGGCCTGGCGCGGTGGCTCAAGCCTGTAATCCCAGCACTTTGGGAGGCCGAGGCGGGTGGATCACGAGAGATCGAGACCATTCTGGTCAACATGGTGAAACCCCGTCTCTACTAAAAATACAAAAAATTGGCTGGGCATGGTGGCGCATGCCTGTAATCCCAGCTACTCAGAAGGCTGAGGCAGGAGAATTGCCTGAACCCAGGAGGCGGAGGTTGCCGTGAGCCGAGATCGCGCCATTGCACTCCAGCCTGGGTAACAAGAGCGAAACTCCGTCTCAATAAATAAATAAATAATAAAAAATAATAAAAATAAAAGAGTCACAGCAAACATGTTCTCTAATCAAGAGCATGAAGAGAAATGTCAGGAAAGTCTCTAGGATTAGCTGTGAGAAAACTACCCAAGTTCGTGTAGGGCAGGGAAGGCAAGTGGGAACAATCACATTTACTGAAAACATCGCCTTTTGAACCTCTTAAATATTTGAGTGTTTAATACCACCATTCACTTGTAATGTAGAGGACATTGTTGTATCCCATTTTAAAGCTGAGAAAATGAAACTCCGAGACATAAAGCAAATTTGGAAGTACACCCTACCCAAGAAATGAATGATGGAATTTAAACCTGGGTCACTTTTCTTCAAAAGCCAACTTTACACTATGTACTCTACACTACCCCTGTTCTCTGACCAATAAGAAAAGTTTCTTCCAAGCTTTGATTTTTATATAACCACCAAGCGGCCTTCATCATGTAAACTGATAAATTATCTTGTCCACATAAGTTTGACAAGAAGGGGAGAATGAGCCAGCACTCATGACAGCCACTCATGTTTTGTTCCAGTAAGAATGAGTCATGGAGAGTTGACATGGAGTTTTCATCATCTCTGAGTATACTGGATATGTTGGGATAAATGAGTCCTATGCATGGCCATGTACTGCCCATGTATGGAAAGGCCACATTCAAGTACCTTTTGAACATCAGCCTGTTTACAGCAAAATGATCAACACTCCTTTTTGTACCTTTACCATTTCTCTACCCATCTCTCCCATCCCAGAGAAAATGAACATTGGGATTTTTTAAAATTAGAAATTACATCTAGAAGCCCAGCTTATTCTCAAAAAGGAAAACTGACAATAAACAGAGACAATGCCAATCATCAAGTGACCCTCCCCTGTCAGCTGATTTCCTCCACCTGCTTTTCACTGTGTGTGGCTATGTGTGTGTAGGTGCATGTCTGGTATCTAGACACGAGAATCCTTTTGTCTCTATGACTTCTTGTTAAGCCATGCCCAAAGTAAACCTAAAAGCAAACATGTTTACTTTTAACCATGGATGACAATATTGAAATTATAGTCATTGCGGAAAATATCTAATCTGTAATAAACAACTCTTGATCTTTGCAGATTGTTTGGGCCTCGTCTTACCTGATTGGCTGTGCCATTGCATCATGCCGCCAGAAAGGATCACCTCAATATCTCTATGTTTGTCACTATTGTCATGAGTACGTATTATTCGTTTTTAACATATATATCCTCCTAAAGTAACCCAATCTAGTTTTTCAAACATTGGCTTTTTTGTGCACAAATGTTTCTAGCAACTTTATTCATATAGACAAGAGTTGGAAATAACCCAGATGTCCTTCAAAGATGAATGGTTAAACAAACTATAATTTGAATCTCAGCAACTTCCTAGTTACATGAAAACATGTATTTAGTTATATATTGTTTTATTCCTTTACCTGCATTTTTCTCTTATTAAAAAAAAACTCCATTATATTTTCAGAGCAATTTACCAACAATCTTCCTACATGTCATTGATTCTTTAGGTAATTATTATATGAGACAAACAAATCTGCTTAAGCAAAGAAACAAGAACATCTACTTCAACAAGAGTATTGTCAGACCAAAAGAATAGATATGCAGTAGAGTCTTGAAATGGGAACAAATGGAAAGAGTCAAGTGTCTTTCCCTGTACTTAGCTATCAAGTCAAAAAGTCGATGTATGTCTTCTCTTTAAAATTTAAATTTACACATTACAGATTCTATCACAGATACTAGTTGCAATTTCTAGAAAATTTAATCTGATTGTTTCAGTAAGGGTCTGGTGCACCTTCTTCTCCTAACAGCTGTGATTATGAAGCAAGATTAAATAAGACAAGGATGACTGCAGAGCCCCTCTGTGTGGCTCCAGTGATAGTTATCCACAAAGGGGAGATTGTTCAGAGCTGGATAGAACTGCTTGATGTTTGACTAAAAATGCCAGTTCAATATCACTTCTGCTGATGAAAGTCAGTAACAGGTCATTATGTATTTCCCTCAGCTACATGTATTTCCTAGATTAACACATAAGCCTTTCCTCCATAAAGTAAGCTCTGTGCATGGTACTTAACCACTGTCTCTCATGTAGTTACAAGAAAACACCTATTTAGTTTTGCTACAGTAGGTAGCATAATACAAGATATTCAATATAAATTAATGAACGTGATTTATTTGAAAACACACTACCATACTTCACATTTTCAATTGGGGCCCCCACTATCACTATGGACTCAGAGTGTAATATCATCATATAATAACTCTATATTAGTTATATATAAATTGTGCTGAAGGCAATAAAATCTCTTTGCTCCTACAACACATCATTTGCAAAATGTATTTGCAGAGATTGGTGGTCTGCAGTGAATTTCAACTGATTCAAAAAAGGAAAGTACAAAACATGGAAATCTATGACAGGAGAATTTTCTTGGTTAAGGATTAGTCCAAGTTGCTGACTAAATTTCTTACAGAATTTAGTACTAACCTCCTTTTCAAAGTGAAATTTTAGCGGCTCAGATAAACAAATATCAGATTCTAAAAGGCTTTTTAAAACCAGAACATTTACTTTTTTAAGTTATGTTAATTAAGAAGCAGAAATTATCTATGTTGTGTTTTTAGAATTGTCTTTTCTTTTTGTTTTTTTCTCTTGAGATAGGATCTTGTTCTGTCACCCAGGCTGGAGTACAGAGGTGTCAACATGGCTCACTGCAGCACTGGCCTTCTGAGTTCCAGCTATCCTCCCACCTCCCCACCTCAGCCTTCCAAGTAGCTGGAAATACAGGCATGCATCACCAGGCCTGACTTTTTTCCCCCCCAGGCTTATCTCAAACTTTTGGGCTCAAGCAATCCTCCCACCTTGCCCTCCCAAAGTGCTGGAATTAAAGAATTACAGGGATAAGCCATTGAGCCCTTCCTGTCTTTTCTAAAGTTTCAAATTAGTCCAGAACTAGAACTTATCTACTCTCTTTCCCACACCCCAGCACTTTAGTTTTATCCATGCTGATGTACTTTCCTCTTATATATAAACCATCTGTTTCAACAAAAGACATTAACATGCAAAAAGTTTCTCATGACATGGTGAAAGATGGAGTTAGAACCTCTCTAGTTTGCCTCACTTGAGATTTTCTTCTTAACACTGGTAAGAATCATGCCCTTTTAAGTGATGGTTTACAGAGTCCTTATAGGTATTAATGAAGAATAGCGTTCTATTGTAATTGTCTCTAAAGCCCTCTTGCTTGTACTTGGGAGTATCCAAAGTTTCCAAGTACTGTTAGGACTCGACTGTCCAAAGAGATGTGCACATTGCCTGAAAAATATTTTTATGTCACTCACATTTATTGGTTCTATGTGCTAAAAAATTATAGCTATAAGATCGGAAATCTTATACCTCTCTTAAAAATTATCACTGTTCTTTACAAGAATGTTTACACAATTTGTTTTTAAAATTGGTTGTACATTGTAAAATGTTATATGCATTTTTCACAGATTGGTTTTATGAAATCACTTTTTTTTATTCTTTAAGGGGAAATGATCCTGACACAAAGAATGAACCTTATAAGATGGGCGTTCCATGTGCAGACTGCCCAAATAACTGTGAAGACAAACTTTGCAGTAAGTTTTACACATTCTGTTTGTTTGCATTTAACCCATACATCCTTTAAATTAAGCATTGAAAAATATTGCACTTTTCTACGACTTTCATCTCACTCATACCACAGAAAATATGCAAATTATTTCTGCTTAACCCTCCCCAATTGCCAGAGTGACTCAGACCATTGATTATCTTATAGCAAAGGAAGTTACGATGCCTAGGTCTGAGAACTTGACTTCCCACACAATAGATTAAAATACTTAATTAGAGTCAAACAAGAAAAAATGTTGAGGTAAGTGTAGATTTTTCTCTGCTCTCTAAAAAGTTCTTGCCCCCCCCTTATTGCATCCCATAATTTTGCCCCATTGCTTTCTGTTTACTGGTGTTCTCCAATTGCCTGCTACTCCATGACTACCCAAGTTGCAGTTTTTCCAGAGTGATCCTTATTCTTCTGTGCTTCCTGTGAAACACCTAAGACGTTAGCTGATGCTCACATTATTCCTTACAGCCTCTTTTTGTTTTTTAATTTCTTGAGTAAATCTTACCTAAAGTGAAGTATTAGCCAAATGGGTGTCATTTATGTTTATTTCCTTAGGTAGCAAATTTCGTTTTTTAGAGCCTACCTGCAAACATAATTTCTTAATTCTTAGGAATAATCTTAACATAAATTATATTAGCACTAAGTTTATGGAGAGAACATAAACCTAAGAAAAATATTCTGTGACCTCCAACTTGAAAGGCCAGAGGCTTATTTTTCTTTACCTTACTAGGTTACTCTATTTGCTTTTAGAGTAAGAAAGAAAATGGATTCTTCTTCCTTCTTATATCTTTCTCTCATTTCTCTTTTCTTTTACTCTTTTATATATACATTTTTGAGACAGAGTTTCACTCTGTTGCCCAGGCTGGAGTGCAGTGGTACAATCTTGGCTCACTACAACCTCCACCTTCCAGGTTCAAGCCATTCTCCTGCCTGAGCCTCCCGAGTAGCTGGGACTAAGAGAACGCACCACCATGCCCAACTAATTCTTTGTATTTTTAGTAGAGACAGGTTTTCACCATGTTAGCCAGGCTGGTCTCAAACTCCTGACCTCGCAATCTGCCCTCCTTGGCCTCCCAAAGTACTGGGATTACAGGTGTAAGCCACCGCGCTCTGCCACTCTTTTTTATTTACTTCTCTATCTGTATCCCTCACTCTTTCTCTGTATCCACTTCACTTTTTATACCCTATTTCTGAAAAAAAAAATTTAGTTGGGAGAGAGATCCACCTCCAACTAAAAAAAAAAAAATCAAACAATTATCTATGCCTTAGGGAAAAAGGGGATGGCAATTGAGTAGGTTTTTTAAATCTGGTTGAGAAAAGCAATGTATGCAGCGATATAACAATTTAACCAAAGTAAAAGAAGAGTAGGAAAGAGAGAAATATTACTCAAGAAGATTGATTCTATCACATAGAAGATGTATATCATAAGCTTTTCTTCACTTATAAGTGTATGAGAAAGTGAGCACTATTAAAGAAATATATGAACTCAAGAATTGAACATATTGGGCACAAACAATGCTAAAAATATAAGACCTGGATATGCAGATAATTCATTTAGTGTAATTCAAATAAAAGTGATAAAAACAATAATTCTTAGTTATAATATTAGGAAAAGTATATAAATTAAGAACAATGGATAAAAGAAAACAACGGATTAAAACGCTTTATAGATTCAAAGAAAAAAATGTTACCTCTAAAGAAAAAATATCCACTGATAGCATATTTCACCAGAATACTACATAAGAGAATAAACTAGGATAATGATGGGTAACTGATTTTTTTTTTAAAAAAAAAGTAGTAATGACTTTGGCAAATTACTAATTGTAGGAAAAAGAAGCAGAGATACACTATCAAATATACAATTGTTCAGGCAGTAATATAACATTCACATTTCATCTCCTTGTTTCACCTTGATAAATCTGTTGTAGTTATTCTCCGAGTTGCTGAAAGGTGAATCAGTTTAATAATTTAGAAAGAGGAAAATGTATATAGCATAGAAGGGTATTGATTACAATAATAAACAATAAAACATATATGTAAATTTAAAATTTAAAAGATCGTTATAAATTTCATGCAATGATCAAACTTTACAATTGAAAGAGAAGAGATGCAATGGAAAAAATTAAGTTGGCCACCAAGTTGCCAAGATTTGAGATTCAAGACTGCATAATAAAGTCGGAAAATCTTTAAGGAGAGAGGGAATTAAATTACTGTTATTCTTACCTTTATATAGAGACAAATAGATACATTTGTTAGTTGTGATAGAGACCAGGTTAAAAAATATTTTAGTAAGTTTTTTGGTGCTATTACCACAAATTAAAAATGTTGGGTATCTTCATACTGATTGGAGAATTTTGTGTGCATTTCTGTATGTACCAGAATGCAGCTGTATGTGCATCCATGGGATAGAGCAAGGTGAGGAAAAAATCACTAGAATGTTAATCAAAATAACCTCTGGGTGGATGGAGAGATTTTACGTGCCATCCTATATGTGCTTTTTATTCCATTTTTCCATTGGCTATATATTACTTCTAATAATCTAAAGCAAATCTTTAACCATTAAATAATGCAGCATTAGATAATTAGACAAAAAGTGTGAATATTTTATATTGCAACTGCATAATCAATACTTTCGAAATAACAGTGTGATTAAAAAGATGATTCCTCTCCAATCTGATTATATTGAATTTAAAACATTGTGATAAAGGCTTTTTTATACAAAGACAAAAATTTTACCTTTTTCTTTCACACATGACCTTAACTCATCACCTGTTTTGCATTCAGATTTAGTTAGCTTATGCTAATCAAATTTAGTTAGCTATCATTAATAAAAATTTATCTTTATGCCTTTAATAGGATGGTCTCTTTCCTTAGCAAATGAGATTTTTAAAAGACAATGTTGTAAAACCATACTATTTTCTTTCAGCTAACCCTTGCCTCTACTACGATGAATACTATGACTGTGATGAACAAGTCCATTATCTTGGATGCAACCACTCAACCACTATCCTGTTCTGTAAAGCCACTTGTCTGTGTGACACAGAGATAAAATAGGTCTTTGTTATTTGCAACTGTTCTGTGCTGTGATGATGAGGAGATGTCTGTTGTATCATGTCTTTTGCATAGTTTAGTAGCTTCTGCTAAATTTTATTTGACTTTAATCATGCTGGAGGTCTTAACTCCTCTCCTGATACATCCTGAAGTAACATTTTTTAAAACTTTCTTAGTGTTGGGGTAAAAAGTCAAGTCCAACGCCTACCTTAAATTAAATCATATGATATATAGTTCTTAAGTTGGTATAATTCAACTTACGGTATAACTGGGTCCCTCAAGAGTAACCTGGTCTAAAGTAGGTCTTATGTCATTGAACTCCCACCCCTGCTTTCCCCACGTTTTCAGCCACTCTGATTTTCTTCCCTGCACAACTAACGTTCAGTAATCATTCCTTACTTTTGAAATTTTACCTCTACTTTAAATCAGTCATTAAAGGCATCCACAAAGCAAACAGAGTCCAGTCTCATCTTGCAAGGTAAATATCACTTAATTCGAGGCCGTTTAAATGTCTCATCATTTTATTGACACATCTATATACACCCTTGTGAAGCATGAAACAATAAAAAACTTCATGTGCCATTAATTTAACAATATATGTATTCCTTGTTGATTACATACAAGATGCATGTTTATATATAGAGAGAGAATATAGTTTCATTTCATTTCAAAGACAGTATAAAAGATGTATAGAAAATAGTATAAGAAATAAATAAGTCCCTAAAGATATACCAGTCATATATTATTATTGCCAGATGAGCATGAATAGCTTCTGTTTGGAGATCCAGGAAAGCCTTAAGGGCAGAATGAGGAACATCTTCTGGGTAAACAGGGTTGCAAAGTCTTTCAACACAATGGAACAGCACAGTTAAGGCCAACTAACATAAAATGCACTGAAGTCTTAGCAAATATTGAAGGGCCTGACATGACCCCAAGTTTTAATATTATATCAAATTTATACCCAGCTCTACCTACTTTTATATTTCTTTACTCATTTCAATAGTGTTTGGGGCGGGGGGGGAACATATCACGCACTTTCCCAAAGTTAAAAAGTAAGGCATTCTGCATCATACGATGGTTCTTATCACAAGTGCAAAAATTCTGTGTGGCTCCAAAAAAAGAGGACAATTTGAGGAAGATGTCCTCTTGGCATGAACCATGTCTTTCCACCTAGATTCAAGGGGATTTCTCCCATGTAAATGCTTCAGACCCTTTCTCACTTTTTATTTAAACTACATATGTTAGGTCAATCCACTTGATTGTATCTGTCTTTTGAGTGATTGTCATTAGCATAAACATGGACATATTAACATTAGGAGAATAGCGACTCATCCCAGGACTCTGTAATAGGATGGTACCTTATAGGTGAAATATTTAATAAATGGAACTCATAACCAAAAAAATCAAAGTAATAATAATTTACCCTAAGAAAATTAAATGTGTGTGCTATAGAAAATCTTTATTCATTTTTGCATTACCAGGTATTATGGTTTATCTTACCTTAAAAGTAAGTTTATTATAATTTATCTTACCTAAATTACAGTTCTGAATTTTGCATGCTAGATAACCAACAAATCCTGCAGTCTACTGTTACATATTGGCCAGCAGTGATACTGTGTTCTTACACTACAATGTGCTCTCTCCAGAAAATAACATGATACTTCTCAAAATTTGCATTCCAGTTATATCTCTTCCACCTTGCATTAAGAGTAAGCATATTCAAATATTTCTTAAGGGTTAGGGAAGGAAGAGGAAGGGTAAGTCTACATCTAAGGAAAATCAAATAAGCAAGCAACAAAACAATTTCTTTGTCTACATTATCCAAGTTTAATATGCTGGCTTCTTTCACAATATATATTTATTAAATGCAAAAAGTATTTCCCCCAAAAATATCTCAGAGCACATTGACTGTGTAAAAAATACCCTGTAATGAAGAAGATTGGGGTGGAGGGCGACCTCATGTATACCATTCTTCTATTATCTCAAAAGCTGTCAGAATCACACATGCTGTTTGGAAAATTGTGAAAAGAGCTATATTAGATGACAGTGGAAACAACTCTTATTTACTATGCAACACCTTTCTAAAAAAATGGGAATAGTCTTACATCCCTTCCTAAATGTTACTGAATATAGAATAAATATTAACAAATAATTTTGAAGCAGAAACAATATCGAGTGGCAGTCTGTACTTTCACAGTAGTAAACAAAAATAGTTCTAGGTGTATAATATAAAGGTTAAGAGCATGAGCAGAGGTGTCACCCAGCTGGTTTGAATTCAGGGCACAATATGTGCTTGTTCTGTGACCTTGAAAAAGACTATTTTTCTTTGTCATCATCCATAAGTTATAGTAAGAGATAGAACATATTTTATAGGTTTGTTTTAAGGATTGAATGAGTTCATATGTAAAATGCTTAGAAAGGTATCTGGTGCTTAAAATGTGCTCAATAATTATTAGTTGGCATTACTATTCATTCTCTTCAAACCCCCGTCCCTGAGCTCTGCCCTTCAGACATAGTTGAGTGGTGCACTCTGGACTCTTCCCTTTTGTGAACTCAGCAGTGAACATGTGTTATGGTGCTAAGTGAACCATCTCTTCCCCATCCCAAATAGCATAACAAGTATGGAGTAATTTATAATACAATTAAAGGGCTTTCACAGAAATCTATAGTATAAAACTGCCTTTGATTAAACAAAATATTCAACTTAATAGAAACATCTGAGTTCACCACATTATTCAGTAATTCAATGCAATTGCAATGGAAATATCCAGAAGAGCTTTTATAGAATTTACAAGTTTATCCAAATTCATTTGGAAAATAATTAACCAGTAGAGTCCACCAAAAATAAAATCAAATTAAAATATGTGTTTTTTGATAAGGATATTTATGTATAAGAAAGACAATTTTTGAAAAAGTATTAAAATACTAGGGCAGGAAATTTAAACAAAATTATGACATTAAATCTTGAAAGTATTTATTTGAAGGCAATAATTTCACTGGAAAACTTTTAAAAAACATGTATATAGGCAGAAGTAGAGCAAGTGAAAGGTTAAGATTAATTTTTAAATCTTTTATTTTAAAAGGTCAATATATAGTTGTTCTATGTGACTTATCTATATTTACATAAATATACAAAAACGAATTTATAGATTGATAACAATGAAATGTATTGCATTAGAAAAAAGGAGGAGAGAAAACCCACTAAATAGATACAGAAATACACATCCCATTAAATAGAAATGTTATCTCTTTCAGAATGCAAAAAAAAAGTATTTCAAATATAATTAGGATTATCTTTCTGTCAAGCTAAGAATAAATTAATCATATAATAAAATCTACCCATCAGAAAAGTGGAAAGAGGCAACCATTTTCATGGATCATTAGTGGGAACTAAAATTTGTAGAAAGATCCCTATTTAATGATATCAAGTGATATTAAAATAACATGCTTTTTGATTTGTCGGTTTCTCATGAAGGAATGTATTATGCTGAAATATTCAAATGAAAAAATATGTCTCTATAAAGATTTTTACCTAAGCATTATTTGTAATAAAGGAAAACAGCCATAAAAATATACTTAAGTGCAGAAATAAATGGGTAAGTAAATTAGGGATGATCCATGACATAAAATACTCTGCAGGTGGTTAGAAAAATGATTAAAGTTTTTATATTCTTATGATGAGAGATGCAGTTTTCTAAAAGTCAAAATTATAGAATCTATATACATATGACATAATCTAGTCTTTCCCTCCCCCTCCACTTGTGCTGCTGCTCTCATTCCTCCTTTCACTCAAGCATTTTCTGATTTTTACATTTCTAACATCATAACTGGAAACACCTTATACCTTTGTGAGTTATTTGAAATATTTAATCCTTTGATTTCATTTTATTAAATTACATAATTTGAAAAAAAATGCAAATAAACCCTTTTAAACACAATGTTTTAAGTAAGTAAAGGAATAACAGTGAAAACAAAGTATTAAACAATGAGCCCTTAGTGTTGTAAAATATTAATACATTCAGTGATCAAGAAGCACAAATCTTTGCCTGTTTCAAATGAGGACACAAACATTAGTAAATATAAACATTAAAGAAATATGGCCAATAGTGTAGCTACAAATGAAGCCAAATACCTGGTATTTGTTTTGGCTTCAGTGTGTTTTATTTTCCCAAAAATAGACTGACTATTTTCTCCTGAAAGTTTACATAAAAGGTAGTTCCCTAGGTTTCCACCATTTGTCACATCACTTGCAAGAGGGAGTAGAAATCATGTTTACTTCAAAGATAAACATTGTTTCAGTGACTTAAACAGCTTCATGGGCTATCTCCAAGAAAATGTGTGGCAAACAACTGTGTAATTTTTCGGAATGTTCTTCAACATCACCCTTATGTCCATAGCTTATCAATAGTGTTTACGGACAGAGTAGCAGTAGCACACTTGTTCATAATATAAAAATTCTTATGATATATTTCAAGGTCATTATCAGGGGAGGAGGGTCTCAGGAGCCCAAAACAGATATGTGTTTCTCTGTGTGTGTGTGTGTGTGTGTGTGTGTGTGTGTGTGTGTGTGTACACGTATGAATGGTATGAATGAAGGTCAGGATGTCCCGTGAAGCAAAGGTAGAAAAGATCAGCATTCAGAATAAAAATCTGATTAGGTTGTCAAGTAGCAGTGAGAGCAGGGAGGCACAAAATAGATCTAGATTACTGGGTAACTTGAAAAGAAAGCCTAAATGATGTCCCACACAAAGGTAACACATTCTTGACTCCCCATTATAAGAATACTACAATATACGCTGTGTTCTATATAGATTCATATGGAGACAAAAATAATAAAATCTTTCAAAATATCCAGACAGATAATTGCTCTACAAGATAATAGTAAACTTTCAAAATGTGCTCAAAGCCTAAATAGTTGGAACATCATGGTAAATACTATGTTTTCCTTAACATGGGAGGGCACTACTGTTCCCTCACTGGTAAAGGAATGGCAATACCAGAACAGTCCGGGATCACATACAGAAAACCATTGCATCATACTAGGGATATGGTATGTTCTTTACACTTATATTAGACAGTAGTTACTGCATGTTATTTAATGGGAAGAAAAATAATTAAGCAAAATAGAAATTTTCAAAATGTGAAACCAACAGCCTCATGTAAAATTGGAATAGAAATGTTTTTCTCCGGCTTCACTGAACTTAAAGTTCATAATTCATAACCACTTAAACGCAAAAACGTTCCAGAAAAGTACACCCAAAACAAAACCATGAGGTGGTATTTATGGCATTCACAGCAATATACATTGCATTTAGTAATCTTTTTGGAAGGAAGCATTTGGGCACAAAAGGACCACAATTACCATGTCTGGTCTTTGACTTAATCTGTGCAACACCCTATAACACTCTTAATGAATTATTTATGTAAATATCTCTAGCGTATGAAAAACTTCACATTTGTTGGTAAAATTTTGCTACTATTGCAGCTTCTTTAAGCATATAAATGAGTCATATTACAAAAAGAAATGAGAATATTTAGTAAAAGATTTATCAAAAATGAACATTTTTAAAATAAAGCTAAATTATCTCTGTAAAGACATGATAATTATTTCATTTCCGAAAATCTCAACTGCATTTAGGTTTCTGGCTGGAGGTTGTAAATGTCAAATCATTTTTCAAATAGTAACTACATTGAGGGGTTAAGAATTATGCTGAATGTTAAGAATACATTATCTTATTTATATGTTATCACTTCAACTACATAATAGCCTTTTGTGGTGGAATTATTACAATTTTACATATGTAAACACAAGCCTCCAAAATTTTACATGACTTCTTCATGGTTAAATAGCTTGAAAGTTATAGAAAAATTTGACACAAAGAACAGCTCCTTCCAAAATTTAGATGCCATAAAATAGTTTATTACTATATAGAGTTATAACAGGAAGTTATTAGAAGATTTTAATGTGGAAAATATACACATGAAATGTAGGTTTTGAAGTTCTTTTCT